CTTTGTACCAGATACAGATTTGAGAAATGATGGATCCAGGTCCAGAGGGCTCAGGTGCCCTGGTGTTGCGTGCTTATAGTCATGTAGCTACTATTTATTGGCTACCAATATACACCCCTCTGAAAGTTTCCTTTATTATTTACCTTTTTGGTGGTGGTGGTGGTTGTTAAGGGAGGGAGAAAATGAGGCTCAGAGAGGTAAAATAACCTGCCCAGAAACACTGGTAAGTAGTGGAGATGGGATTAAAACCCAGGTCCGAGCGCCCCCAAACCTATGACCTTTTCATTAAGCCAGGCTGACTCCAGTCCACAAACCCGGCTATTATAGGTAGCTTCACTAAGATCCTTCCTGGAAGAGATTATCCTGCATTCCAGTTTTCTTGCTGGTGTTATTCTGGAAATAGCCCAATAAACGTCACACTTTGATTTACTCAGGACAGACTTGCAGCTGTCTTTTCCTTTGCAGCTCTTCTTGGTCTCTGAGGTTTTCCACTCCTTCTCCTGGTCTTCCACCCAGGCCACCGCAGCCCACAGCTGCACGCCTCGGTTTGGAACCGTCTTCTCCAGCCCCGTGGGATTTGCTGAAGAGAGCTGCTCTCTGACCCAAAGAAGGCCTGTTGGAAACAAGCTCAGAATCTCAGATGCTTACATTTTTGCAACTGGAGGGGATCCTAAAAACCATCTAGGAAACAGAAGTTCAGGAAATGTCTCACACCAGCTGACACCAGGTTTATTAGCACAGCACACATTTGCTGTGATAAATGTGAGAAAGAATGAGTCACATCAGCAGCTCCGCGTGCTGGGTGCTTGTCTTGTTAACCTTTGCCGCAAGCCAGTGAGGCACCAACTAATTATCCTCACGTCACAGATGAACTGGCTCAGTGAAATACTGGCTTAAGGCGCTACAGTAACTGTGGGACCAGGCTCTGAACTCACTGGACTGTGGATAGACAGCTCAGACCCTTCCTTTCCCACGGCCTGTGGTGGGGTTGACGAAGAGTGCAAACATCCCCTGGCCTGCGGAATTCGCTCCTGTGCCAAAGGGCAAAGAGCCAACAGAATGAAGAGACGAGCTGATCGTTTTGTGGGCTCACTGAGGTCAGGCCTATAAAATCATCTGGCATTTACCAACAACCTGAGGGCTTCCCCTGGGAAACAAGGACTACTTGTCTACCTGCAGCCTCTCCCCAGATTTTCTAAGACTGGTTATTACAAGCTAGAAGATTCTGCAAGTTCCCTTTGTCCTTGGAAGATCCACCCCCCACCCTCAAAGAGGGGGCCTTCAAAGTGTCAGATTGGGGGCCATAAGAAAGTCTTGCTGGTGCGAGTCTTCCTGTTGAGGTTGAGAGATCAGGTTCAAAGCTCAAGCCGCAGCTTCCTCACCTCCACTCCCCATCCCATCTCCAATCCCGAGAGGGAATGTTCCTTCCCTCCCCCCACTGAGGCTCCCTGTAAAAGCCTCTGGATTGTGCTGAGCTGGGGGTCAGATTGGGAGTTTGAGGCATCTTTTCTGCTCTCTGGGGATAGACCCTAACCTCATGGCAGAGGCTCCTGGGAAGGTGCCTCTCCAGAAGGAGTGGCTGTGGAAGCAGACATCTCTTCTGAGCACACAGGGTGGATGCTAAATGAGATATACCCACACATACCTATCAGGAGGATAGACTCTCACCAGTGCCATTAAGTTGTGCCTGGAGGGACACCTTTGACCGCAGTACCTGTGCAAACTTTTCTGCATGTTGATACTACCCATTCTGGAGCAAGTAGTTGACCTGCTAATGACAGTGTTACTAAAGGTCCCAACGTGGCCTCATTTTGCTAGCTTGCCAGTGATGACATGTTCTCTTTTTAGAGAGCACTCATCATTGTTAGCAATCCAGCCAGCAGCTTTTAGCCCTTTGAGTGATAAAAACCTGTAAAACTTTATGAAATTTATACATCTCCTTACCAGTAAAATATACATGGGCACATACATGATATTGTTGCATATTGTATTGGACACTTGAAGCCCATTCCAGACCTCTACCACATTGCAGACCGCCGTTCTAGAGTGAGCACCCTGGTCCAGGGACCTGGTCCGGTGTCCTGAACGCCTCCAGAATGCAGTGGAGTTTCTGGTAGATAATAGATACAGTACTTGGGAAATGTGTTGCAAGTTGAATGCATTAATCAACCTGGAAGCAAGTTTATGAGAGCAAAGCTGCCTTGGTGGTACCCTGGCCCAGTACGAATGACATTGAGTGACACTGTGCATGGTCAGATGGGCTTTGGGTCCCACTTAGAAAAACTGCTGTAGGTCACAGAGGGATGTGGGGGGCTGTGGAAAAGAAGGAAAGTAATGGTATTTGGGGGACACAGATCCATTAACCATAGCACAGTCAGATAATAAGTCAGTCTCTATCCCCCCACCTCCCCTAACCCCTCCTCTCCCTCACTCTTTTATTCTGTCTTCCTCTTACTCTACTGTGGCTATCAAGAGCTTTTGAAAGTATAAAGAGCTTTCGATCAGTGTTCAGAATGGCCAAAGGTTAGCCTCCAGAGATTTTTTATTTTATTTTTGCTGGAATCACTACTATGGCAGAGGTTAGTCACCACGCAGGCAGGAGCCACAGAACAGGTACTTTAGGTGGTAATGAGATGAGTCCAAGCCCACAGAGCCCTTCTGTTGTGCTCACAGAGGGGAAACCAACAGAACAGCCCAGGACCTGAGCTGTTGTTTCAGTCTCTATATTTCAAGTGCATCTCCCCAAAGGACATATAATTGAACAGAAGATGCCAAGGCTGCCTCTAGCCATAGATTATGGAAAGCCTCCTGAGACTGCCTTTCAGAGGCACAAGGATGACCATTTGCACCTGGGATTTTCAAATGCAGTTTCCTGGACTGGGATTCATGAGCAGTGGGAACATCACCCATGGAGCTGTGTGAATCATGAATGTCATGGATCCTGTCTCAGAAGGTTTGGGGTGAGCCCAGGAAACTCTATGCTTTTAAAACAGAAAATTCTGATGGGAAATAAGCTTTGGAAACCCTACAAGAACTGTAGCACCATATTTATCTGTTCAGTCCTCCAAATGGCTGATGTCAAAAATTCCCATCTTAGATCTGGGTATGGATGCCTCCAGGCCTTTTCCCTGTAATTTTATTTCAAGACCCAGTTTGCGGTCACTTTTTCCAGGAAGTCTTCTTGGGTCATCCAACAAAAATCTATCTCTCCTTTCCCTCTCCTCCCATGGCACATTTTCAGTGTCTTTATAACAGTTTATAATATGACCTCCCTACTCATGACATTTATTCACCAATACTATGCAATGGAAATACAATGCCAGTCACATATAAAACTTTTGATTTTCTAGTAGCCATGTTTTTTTCAATTACAGTTTACATTAAGTATTATTCTGTATTAGTTTCAGATGTACAACATAGTGGTTAGACAATCGTGTACTTTACAGGGTGGCTCCCCCAATATTTTAAGCACCCTCCTGGCCCCATACATAGTTATTACAATATTATTGACTATTTCCTATGCTCTCCTTTACATCCCTGTGACTATTCTATAATTACCAATTTGTACTTCTGAATCCTTTCACCTTTTTCGCCCAGTCCCCTAACCTCCCTCCTCCCTGTCAACTGTCAATCTATGACTATTTCTATTTTGTTTGTTTATTATGTTCTTTAGATACCACATATAAGTGAAATCATATGGTATTTGTCTTTCTCTCTCTGACTTATTTCATTTACCATAATGCCCTCTAAGTCCATCCATACTGTAGCAAAAGGTAAGATTTCATTCTTTTTTTATGACTGAGAAGTATTCCATTATGTAAAAATACCACAGCTTTTTTATCCATTCATCTACTAATGGGCACTTAGGCTGCTTCCAAATCTTGGCTATTGTAAATAACTCTGTAATGAGCATGGAGGTGCATATATTTTTTCAAATTAATGTTTTGGGTTTCTTTGGCTATATTCCCAGAAGTGGAATCACTGAGTCATAGTCTGGTAGCCATATTTTTTAATGGAGCTGGTAAAGTTAATTTTACTAACATGTTTGCTAATGTTTGATGTGTAAACATTGTAAGATAATGTTTGATTTAACTCAGTATACCCAAAATGTTACTTCAACATGCAATCAATATAAATATCATCCATGAGATAGTTTACATTTTTTTAACCATACTATTTGGAATTTGTTGTGTGTTTGACACTGACAGCACATCTCAGCTTTGACTGGCCACATTTCACCAGCTGACAGCCACATGTGCCCAGTGGAGGCCATATTGGGTTAGCACAGTTCTGGTTCTTCGAGTGCAAGTCTATGATTTTTGCTTTTGCTTTAAGTTCTTCAGACAGGGGAGGTCCACTCCCTGGAGCCAGTATAGGTGCTTAGAAAGTATTTGAGTAGATTCAAATGTGATTCTTCCTGGACAGTGTCCTTTGATGGCTTTTTGGTTGGTTGATTGGTTGGTTGGTTGGTTGGTTTTCTATCTGAAGGCACAGAATCTCTGGAGAAAGGCATAGTATCAGTTTCAAGGAAGGGGAAAGAAATCCAGAGCAGGTTTCAAGAGTGGGGGCTGGAAGAACCCCAGGACACAGGCCATTCATTAACAGGAGCAGAAGGCAGTGCCACCCAAGGGGCAGATGCCAGAGTGCACTGTGGGATCAGACACAGTAAACGTGAAGCTGTGGTGACTCTGAACCGTGTGTTCAGCCTCCCCTCTGCAGGTTACCTTGTGCTGCCTGAAAAGCACAGACTGCCAAAGGATTTATTTGGGGTGTAATGTGATCAGTTAAGTCCATAAAAAGAGCTACAGCAAGAACATGTTCTCAGCAAAGATTTTTTTCTGGAAACAGGTTGAGCTAGTTATACCATGACCACAGGCTTCCCATGAGAGTTGACTGGCTTACCTCATAATTCATCCATAGTTGAGTTTGTCAAAAAAGAATTGTCTGCAAGACAGTGCCCACAGATATATGATCATGGCTTTCCAGGAAAGAGCTATCTTTTAAGGAAATCAGAGTTCAAAGCCCTTTCTCTAGGTTCTCTTGAGGTCAAATAATCAATGTATAGAAGTATAAGGACTGAAGTTTGAAACTCCCCAGGTGGAGGTCACTAACAGTATACTAAGTTTCAACTAGCTAGGTAAGGAGGGTCAGACCCTGGGCTGGATCCTGTCATTCCCAGATGAGGATCAGGTTACGGTGGCAAGGACCCAGCCTTTGGAGAGGAACACTCTTTCTTCAAATGTCAGTTCACCCACTTATTTGGAACATCCATATATTAGAAGTCTTAATTTGTACACTTCCTAAAAGGGACTTTTGGTGGTTTATTCAAAGCATTGTAACAAGTGGTTAAGGCCTTGGACCACTAGCATGTGACCTCAAGCAAGGTACTTTACCTCTTTTAGGCACCAGTTCTTCACATGAAATATGGGTGGTAACAGTTCCCACCTCCCAGGGCTATGTGTTGATTACACTGAGATAAAGTACTAATCAATGCATGGAAAGGGCTCCGTAAAAGTTCATAATGACTTGAAAATGAAACCCAACATAAAACAGGATAATTTAAAGTAGAAAAGTGAGTTTAAAAGAGTAGAGAAATAGATATTCTCAAGTAAGTGGGTGCTGAATACACATCGTTGCACAGGAAGTGATAGGCAGCTGAGGGTAATTAGAAGAAGGGAAGCCTCTCCTTTTAGTCCCCAACTCATAGTCTAGTTGAGTGGCCTGCACCCCAGGAGGAAAACCTTGTGTTAGCCTGTGTAGCACCCTCTATAAGCATAATAGAGGCCACCAAGAAGTTGACCGGTAGAGGAGACCAGAAAGAGCAAGCAGGATTTGGATAGACGGTGGGGGAGCACCTCCCACCCTAGGCAGAAGGCCTGTACTGCCAAAGCATAGCAGTGGGGTGAGCCGCCTGTCTCCCAAGGAGATCGGCAAGGAGCAGCCCAGGCTGTAGGGATGGGAAAGGTGAGGACGAGACAGGAGCTTTGGTGACAAGCAAGATGGGCAACGAGTATCAAAAGGGAAAGCAGGACAAGGGCTCATCAGCAGGCACAGCCCTACAGCACTGAAAGAAAGATCTACAGTCCATAAAACAGCAACAGCTTGCAGTGTGGAGAAGAGATGGGAGGGAAATGGAGGGAGCAGGGAATTTATCTCTAATCCCATTGTCTGTTCCTTGGCACAGACACTCCTGGGGCTCACCAGCTCTGCCAAGAACAGTATTCTGCAGCGCCTGTCACAAATGTTGATGACTGAAAGGGTTGTGCACCCTCTAAGACTCTGCTTCCCGTTCCTAAGAATATCTAGGAAAGGCTCGTTTAAGACACTTCCCTTCCCTCTGTCTGGCTTTCTCACTTGTACTTACCATACCTGGTCTTCCTGTAAGAGTCAATAGATTACGTCTTCAGAATGTTTTGAGCTACAAGAAGGGAGAACATTGCACACACACGTCCAGGCACAGTTATTTTCACAGGATTCCATTTCCTCTGTTTGCTTTCAATCCATCTCCTGGTAACAGCTGTCTGACTCCCTAAAGCCAGCAACAGCTGCAATAATGAGCCCACCATTTGAGCTTGGGGATGACATAGGCCCAGCCCCGAGGTGCAGCTGTTCTTTAAAGCCTGATGTCTTGGCCCTCCCTATGGCGTGGTTAACAAAGAGAGCCATTCATTAACCCCCAATGTTTCTAGTTTTCACGAATTCCTTTTACCAGGGATATAATCTCTTCATTCTGCCACTTATTGGTAGTTTTACCATAAGGAATCATAGGATGCCTCCCTGAATTTAGTTTCCAACTCCAATGGAGATACCGTAATCCACATCATGAGGGTGTTGTGAAGTTCCCAAGATATAATAGATATGAAAATCTTTTACAAACTATAAGGCACTGCTCCTGAAGTAGTTTTTATTAAGGTCCTTGTTCCTGAGTTTAACAAGTGAAAAAAATTACTGAACAATACAGGACAGTGAAATAAACTCTCTGAATTGACCTGCCACATAAGTAGTCACTGAGGAGCAGAGGTCAGAGAGTTTCTGGAGAAGGCACTTGGCCTGAATTAAGAAGGCACTGGTAGAATCTGAGAGGTTAAAGGAGAGGGAGGGACATTTGGGTGAGGGACACACGCAGCCCAGGAAAAGGCCAAGAAAAGAAAATGTGTTCAAGGGGCAGTGTAGAGCCTTCCTGGAATGGGGTAGAGAATGGGCCTGGGGAATATGGGCACATAAAGTTTGAAGGGTCATGATGGGCTGGACCAAGGATAGCCTTCATGGTAGGCAGAGACTATCAGGAGAGGTTTTAATAGCATGGAAAAGTTGAGGAGTTATAGAGATCATCCTGCTCCCTGAGTTCTGTGATTTATCCCTATTTAATAGTGAAGACAAAGGGACCTGTACTCTTGGCTTCCAGGTGCCAGGCTCAGTAGCTCTTGGACCCATGCAGGTCTTTAACTGCCCAAGTCAGCAGCTCCCAACTTCCCTGCTCATTAAAAAAGGGATTACCTGGCTCCAGTCTAGATTTTCCAAATCAGAATTCCTGGAGAAGGGGCACAGGAATCACCCTTTTGAAAATAATCTTTCCTCTCTCCCCAGGTGTTCTTGTCCTCGTGGAATTGTGGGGATGCTGTGCATGTGACCTAGATGACTCCCAGTGCCAGGAGCCTCACCCATGGGCTTTCTGCCTGCTGGAGAGAGAGGGTGACTTCTCAGTCTACAGAGGGCTGAGAAGAGTCACTCAATGCTCTGTCCTCCACCAAAATGCGATGGAAAGACTGGAACTTTCTTAAGGAACAACTTTTCCTCTTTAATCTTTCTCATTGCCCTACCCTGAATCTCCTTCCCATTTCTTTCTACCCCACGCAAGCTAAATGCAGAGCTCCAACAGGACTCAGCAACCCTCATGTCCTACTGTCAGTATCCTACTGTCTTAACAAGAGTAGTCCCTCCCATCACCTTCCTTCCCCCT